CTAAAGACATGAAATCTAGATCACATCTATCACTACTAATTGCAATAATTACCTTCAAGGCTTCAACTTCGTAGTGCCACAAAATGATAGTTATTGGAAGTTGTAAAGAATTTACGGCCCTTGCCTTCAATTTTAAATTCTCAAGGATTACAACGCCCATGAAATTAGAAGAATTTATTGGAAAAAGGATTTGTATAATAAGGGCAAAAAAAGTCACATGCAACACACAAAAACTTCACCAAGGTTTTTTTTTTACCATCCGATATTTGAAAATCCAATGGGTCATCGACTAATTTAGATTTAAGTTGGGTAGGATACAATGGGCGGCAAAACTCTTCCTCGCGAGTTTTAACAGAACTGCATTCTCAGAGTTTGAAATCAAAACTTTTGATTAAATTGAAAGAGTTTCTTGTCAACTCATCCACTGGCTTGTGAATACCAAGGTTTTATTCTGACACTAAGCAAAAGATGATTAAATCAATACTGCCCTACCATATGGCTTGCATGAGAAGACTATAGTTTAAAAAAAGACTTTTAGAAGAAATCACCTTCCCAAATATTTCTCAATAAAATTAAAAAAATTATCAATAATTTGCAAAGTAAAATCTTAATGAGAAAAGAATTTTAGAGGAATAGTATATTTTTAACACAAAATCACAAAAAACCATCAAGTCAAGCTAAGCATTCAGCCATTTAAATGCCCTTTACACAAAAAAAGAGAGGAAAAAAAAAAGGACAAGATAAAAAGAAACAGTAGAATAAGTATGTCAAATAAATACCATCAAATCCAATTCCATAACAAGTAGTGACTTAATTCTTAGAATAATACCTTCAAATTCGAAAGTGAACTTTCTTACTACTAAATAAAATTTTCAGAATGAACTGACATGAAACTCATCATGATAAATCAAAATATCAATAATAAATAACTATAAGATCAGAAACAATAGATCAGAAGTAAATGTCGTGAGCAACATTTACAGATGGAATATGCAAATGTTATTTACTCGCATAAAATAGGAGAATAACATAATAATTTTGAAGGCAAAGAAAAAAAAGGAAGAAAAGTAGAATTGACACACTTGGACCAAATAATACTTTCTTAATTATATTTTTTTAATAGAAATTGGGATCTAATAATATAAAATTATTTTATGAATGATAAACGATGAGTTCAAATCTGAACTTATAGAATTTACATGTGTTTTAAAGCATACCTTACTGTACGTATGGCATACTCAAACATAGTTTTACTAACTAAACAATTAATAAATCAATTAGGTGTTAATTTTTCAATTACGCGACAATTAATAATAGATGGGATTGTAGTATCAATGATGCAAAAAGTAAATTTTCCACCATACATAAACCTTTTATTTTGTTAGGTGCTTTTGATATAATTACCTTCAAGGCTTCAACTTCATAGTGCCACAAAACGATGGTGAGTGGGAGTTTAGATATTGAGAAAATATAAATATCTAATCATAAATAGAAAGAGGAAACTTGGATAAAAAGATATATAATGATAGATAAAAATGTAAGGGTTAAGAAAAAAATAATAGAGAGTGGATTATAAGCAGAGAAAGAAAAATAAAAAATAAATTGTTAATTTAAAAAAAGAAAAGAGGGTAAATATAGTTTAAATTGATAAATATAATGAGAAAATATGAGAGTAAGTTAAGAAATAGTTGCACAAGAAAAACTTAATTAGAGGTGGAGCAATGGTATGTAAGTAAAAAATTACCAATAGGATTATATTAAAAGGTTGTCTTTTTTATATTTTGATTTAGACCATATATAATATAGATAAAGGTAGAGAGAGAGAAATGAAATAAGAAAAGAGATATGATGAGTGACATAAAAAGAATAACAGTGGAAGAATAAGGAGCGTAAGAATAATATCAAACAAATTATTAATATAGAAGAAGAAAGTGAGGACATATATAAGTAGGTTGATAAATGTAATAATAAAATATCAAAGGGCAAGCAAAGAGATGATGTTGTTAAAAAAAAATAATGAAACATTGAAATATAGTTAAATAGAAAAGTACGAAGAAAATAATACTAATGAGCTATACCTTTTATGTTTTGACTTAAAAACCTTTTAATATAGACATTTAGGAGAGAGGAGACAAATTAGGATAAAAAGAGATATACAATAGTAATAATAATAGATGAAAAAAATAAAAGAAATTAATGAAGATTTGATGAACTACTCCATTGTGTTTATCTCAAATTAATTGATATGAAAATATGATATATGTTTATAATAAGATGTGAAAGTTAGATATATATTTATAACAAATTAATATGTGTTTAAAATGACTTTTATATTTATTAATTAAAAATTAATTTCAATTATAAATTAATATTATTATATTTATAATTATTAAAAAGTGTGATATAAACTAACAGTGCGCAATTTTAGAACCTAGTTTCAATATAAAATTTTCCATTTAAAATTAAATTAAATATACCGTGGGCTTGCACTTGGCCCGTGTGGCCCGTGGCTAGAGCCACTGAAAAGTGCACATCCCCCTCCCCTGAGCGGGTTTTGAACCCGGCCCATGACAAAACTGTTCAAAAAAATATATATATATATACCGTGGGCTTGTATATTCTGTCTAGACAAGGAAAGGGAGCATTTTGTTGCATTTGGTTTAACGTTTGAAATTGTTTGTGTCAATGTGGTGGTGACGGATTGTTGATGATTTTAGGCTACAGAGGTTGCAAAGATTGAGCACGACAAGAAGCTGTTGGCATTGCAGAGTCAAGAGTACAAGGGGGGAAATGAAACCAAGCTAGATAAGACGAAGGCCTCTATAAAAAGACTGCATTCACTGATTATTGTCAATTCTCAGGCTGTCTTCACCACCTCAACTTCAATCATTGGTCTTAGAGACAGTGATCTTGTTCCCCAGCTTGTGGAACTCTGTCATGGGTATGTTTCTTTAGCTTCTTTCTTTTTATAGTTAAGATGAGAACTCACTGAATTAATTGTCAAATGAACATTCATATTCCATACACAATGAAATATACCATGCCTGATATATAGTGAGGTGCCTCTCTGGTTTAGTGAAATCCCTAACAAGTTTCAGTCCGTCTAATGAAGATGAATCCTTGGATGCAATAGTTTTAATGGTCATCCATCCCTCCGGCACCCATCCCTCTTCTCTTCTGAACAATGAGTGTTTAATGTGAGTTGTGATTGGATTGATGATGGTAAAATTGAATCTTATGTCCCCTGTGGTGATTAGCACACATGAGAACTTGTGTTAAACTGTTAATGACTTTTGAGTTATTATTGGGGAGGTGAAATCTTGTGCTGATTTTTTATCCTATGTAAAACGTGCTGATCTGGTTGGTGAATCATTATGAGTTATTGCTCTAGTATGCTACTTGATTCATTCACTCAGTAAGCACATGTGTCTTGAATTCCACTGAATTGTCCCATTGCTTTTTGTATATCTTTTTAAAATCAGAGACAGGCCCCAGTATTGCACTAGCCCCATGACTGTATTTCTTTTAATCCATGGATCCTTTCCACTCCTCAGATTGGTAGGTTGGGAGTTAGGTAAATTAGAGTTAACTATCATAGGACTTGACATTCTCCTTTCAAGATTGATGGACTGGATGAGCTAGACTAGTGAGTGCTGAATTTATTAACGTCATAATTGTAGTCAATGTTTTTTTCATAACTTATTATCATCATCATTTCAAACTATTGATTAGGGCATAAAATAGTTGAGAGATCTATAGTGCTCCCTGTTGTCAGTGACTCAGTTTGTGGTGGTGGCGGTGGGCAGGGCTCGAGCTAAAACATTACTGCCAAACAGGTAGTTAATTATGGTTTGCTTAGAGGCTGTTGGGAGCTGGACCTCTCTATTATTGAGTGTTTCAACAGACCATGTTGCGGTGCAGTGAAACATATTTGCTAGCACAAGTGGTTGGCGGATAAGAGATGCTATACATGACAATTGAAGTGAGATTTGTAAAAGTTCGCTCTATAATCATGATTGGGTTTTATGACATTTTCTGTTTGCACCACCTTCCTTCTTGGCAATCTGAATTTCCAACATTTCATTGTAGAGCAACTTGCGATATCTGGATACTGAAACTGTTGTGGTAGAATTATTTAACTTTAATCCTTATATACATATTTCATTTTATTGAGTGCAGCTTCATGTACATGTGGAGGTCAATGCGTCAGTACCACGAAGTTCAGAACCACATTGTGCAACAAGTGGCTGGCCCCGTAAACATATCTGTAAATGGTGACTCTACTTCTGAACTGCGTAGGCGGGCAACCCATGATCTGGAGTCTGCTGTCTCTGCCTGGCACTCTAGTTTCTACCGCTTGATAAAATTTCAAAGGGACTTTATTCGTTCCCTCCATGGCTGGTTCGGGCTCACCCTTATACCTGTAAGCAACGATTATGTTGATGGCAACAGGCAACCCTCTACTGTATCTGCCTTTATTAATCAATGGAAGCTTGCTCTTGACCAAGTTCCAGATACAGTTGCTTCAGAAGCCATCAAGAGCTTTATCAAGGCTGTCCATGACATATCCGCCAAGCAAACCGAAGAGGACAGGATTAAAAAGCGAACTGAAACACTATCGAAGGAGTTTAAGAAGAAAGCTTCAGCCCTTCGAAACCTAGGAAGGAAATTCTACCACCCATACCCTATGGTAGGTAACAGCGTTCCTGCCACCGGGCCTGATAATGGACAGGTTTTAGGTGCTCAGGATCCTCTTGCAGATAAGAAATCAGAGCTTGCAGCCTGCCGAAGGCGGATGGAAGACGAAAAGCTGAGGCTTTCCAAGGCAGTTGAGGTAACAAGAGCAGTGACACTGAATAATCTCCGAACAGGCTTGTCAAGGGTTTTTGAAGAATTATTCCGTGTCTGTGTCTCATTTATTGTGGCACTTGACACGTTTTCCCCCGTTCCTAGGCTTAAAAAATGAAAAAAGAAAAAGAAATAAGAAAACAGAAAAAAGAAATAAGAAAAAAGGAAAAAGGAAAAAATTATTTTGGAATCGGTTTTGGACTTATTTACTTTTTTTTTTTTTTTTTATACGTTTTATCTTTAGGGGTTAGGGTGTGTCTTACAATAATGATTGTCTTGAATAAACTTTTAGGTGTCACCCCCTGTGGCCATTGGGCTATGGTGGTGGTCGGCTTGAACTTATGTGCACTTTTTTTTTTTGTTTCTTGAAAATAGGCAATGGCTTGGTCTTACATATTTTGGGAAGAAAGAAAAGTAGAAATAGGGGAAAAGGTTATCTGTTGTGTTACTTGTGTAATTTAATAATAAAATACAAATAAAAAAAAGGTTCTTTCTATGCCATTCAAACAGTAAGAGCCCGGAGGATAGGATTTTATGTATGTGTAGTTCTAATCTAATAAATTATTTATTAATTATTAATTTTTTATTTATTTTAGTTTAATATTTTTATTTTTTAAAATTCATCTATTAATTTTTAAAATTATTTTATTTTCATCTACTTTACACAATTTTTACACAATTTGGTTAGTTTTGTTGATGAAACTTCACGTTTTTTATTGTGTGGCACCACGTGAGTCACCATGTGGCATTGTGGCACCATGTAAGCTATCGTTTGGCACCACGGAAGCTAATGTGTGGTATAAAAAGTGAGGGAAAATTTTTGCTTCTTTGTTTAGGCTAAATGCATAATATAAAATGGATTTATCTAACTTTTCTCATTCAGGCATAGGTTAAAGGTGTAATTATTACACTTTTTCAATATTAATTAGTATAGAAAATAACAAAAGTTAATATTAATTTTACCACTAATATTTCATAAATTATTTTAATTGAAAGAATGATTAAATAAATGCTTAATTCTTTTCAATAACAATTAATATTAAAAAAATATATTTAACCTGTACTTTAAGGTATAGGTTAGAAAAACCCATATAAAAAAAAAAGTGGTATAAGGATAAATTTTTTATATAATTTTTTATACCACTTTAACATGTCATAAGTAGATATATTTAATATAATAGGTTCTAAATAAATAAAAAATTAATTATTTAAATAATATGTAAAGTTATATAATAAAATAATAGAAAAAATTATATTATATTATTTCTTTAAAAAAAAATTAACATGTGCTTTAAGAACACGAATTAAAGATGCATTTATTTCCTTTTTTTTATTATTTTGTATGAAAAATTAAAAAAATAAACTTTATTTTCAATACTAAATGATTTTTATTGGTTGGTTAACAAATTTAAAATCTACATTTATATTTTTTTATAAAAAATATAAAAAATATATATTTTAACTTGTATTTTAAAGACACTTGTTAAAAAAAATCTTTTTTTTTTTAAATGCTTAGGTTTTAGTTTTAGAAATTATCTAATCGTGCTTTAAGGGTAAAGGTTAAGGGATAATTTTTTTTTTTTTGAACAGCAAAAAATATTTTTTATTATTAATTAATGGAGTACAAGGGGTACCCCAGCCCGTCAACTTGACCATTTGAAATTTATACAGTTTGGTCGAATGCAAAAAAGTGTCGACACGGGATCCAGTGTGTCGACACTATGTCCGTGTCGAACTTTCTGCTTTCTGATGCAGAATCTTTACCCATCACTATCCTGATGCAAAAACTTAATCAATCACAATATTCATCTTAAGAACTTTTTTTATATTAATTAATATAGAAAATAATAAAAGTTGACATTAATTTTATCACAAATACTACATATATTATTTTAATTGGATGATATGAGCATAGGTTAAGAATACTTTTTTAACATTAATTAAAAAGTACTTA